CATTAACATTAATGAAAAAATATATCTTTAAAAGTATAAGATAAATTTTTAGAAAGGACTTAATTTTAAATGAGTTCTTGCTAATTGACCAGTTTTACATATTCGGCACGACATATATATTATATATATATATATATATATATATATATATATATATATATATATATATATATATATATATATATATATATATATATATATATATATATACACACACACACACAATAGAATCGTAAACAAGCGATCTTAACAATACAGAACAAGCCACATGGGAATGGAAATGTTTAGCTTTAGACCTTAAAAAAATGCGTCGTCAGAAGCTATGCAGTGTTGCAGGAGGGCAACAGGTGGGAGGGAAAATTCTCTGAGGCAAGGCAGAGGGTACCGTAGATATACTTGATATCGCCAATGACCTGCCAGGTATTTGGGGCTACAATGTACTGTTTTTATGGTGGCATGTTCTCTCAGGATGGGTGGCCATGTCAGATAACCTAGCCCTTCTGGGAATAATAAAAAATCAAATTATCGGATACAGAGGTATTGTCATTTTGACCCAAATTAAATTCAGGGCATGATAACCCACGTGGCTACACTTAGGGTCAACTTCTACAGAAATTCGTCAGTGAATCTCATGTTACATTTGGCTTGTGAAATGTAGACAAATGTCTTAGCGACCCGGCAGAGAGCAATTAACACTTCATAAACAGTGGTCAGCAGCCAGCTTGCCTCTGCTCGCTCTGTACTCTTTTTTCGTGTTTTTATTGAGGACAGTCTATGTTTTTTGTAAACAAGTTTTTTTTTTTTTTGGCAATGGTTTCGAGGGCAATGTTGTGATCATATTGTGGTAAATTATGCAGATTTAAGCTAGGATAACTCATTAAAGTCCAACACTGTGACTTGTTTCTCCGGGTTCTCCTTAAATCTTAGTTTTTACGAAGTGCAGAAATAAAACGTCAGACTTATTCATGCGTTTTCTACATTAAAAAACGAAGCTATTGTTATGAACCTGGGATAACCCAATAACTAACACCTAGATACCCTGTTTAGTATCAGGTGAACAGAAGCAGCAAGTGTGAAGGAGTGATATATTGCTGAGAGTAAGGAAGAAGGAGGCGAAGAAGACGATGAACATATGAAAGAAGGAGCACTGCGGTAGGCCTACTGGCCCATGCTAGGCAAGTCCAAGTCACCAACTGGCCCAAGTTACTGGCCAAAGGGTTATTAACCCTAAGGGTTAATAACTCAAACTAATCCATGAAAACTAATTAGGGCTGGTTGTTTCCGTAGAGGTCATTAGGTCTTCCCAAAAATGCGACTCACAACAATCGATTAACACCCAGTAACTAGGTACTATTTTACTGCAAGGAAAATAGGAGCATCAGATGTTAGATTAGCTTACCAAACCATACCCCGGCCGGGATTGAACCCGCGGTCAGAGAGTCTCAAAACTCCAGACCCTCGCGTTAGCCACTAGACCAGCTAGCCACAATAAGATTCATCCAACTAGGTATATTTCTACACCATAGGAAGGTTAGCACAGGCACCACTGTGACCACAAATGCAAGTTTTTACAGACGAATCTCCAGCTATCGTGGCCGTGACGAACTCTAGCTCAAGTCCCTTCACTACCGTCAACATGACTCACGAAATCGTAATGACACGATTGCAAACAAACCATACCCCCGGCCGGGATTGAACCCGCGGTCAGAGAGTCTCAAAACTCCAGCCCGTCGCGTTAGCCATGTTGACGGCAGTGAAGGGACTTGAGCTAGAGTTCGTCACGGCCACGCTAGCTGGAGATTCGTCTGTAAAAACTTACATTTGTGGTCACAGTGGTGCCTGTGCTAACCTTCGTATGGTGTAGAAATATACCTAGTTGGATGAATCTTATTGTGGCTAGCTGGTCTAGTGGCTAACGCGACGGGCTGGAGTTTTGAGACTCTCTGACCGCGGGTTCTATCCCAGCCAGGGTATGGTTTGTTTGCAATCGTGTCATTACGATTTCGTGAGTCAGTTAGATTAGCTTACCTGTCTCACCCTGCCCCAGATTGAACCCGGATTCTTTCGCTTGTGAGCCAACCGCTGTACCACTGAGCTGCGAGATACAAAATTACACCTCTCTTACCTGTTAAAAATGAAAAAAGTCATCTTGCGGTTTGATACCTAAACATCTGACAGTCATGAATGGAAATGATCCATGGTCATTTCCTTTCATGATTCACTTCCATCTTACAAAGCATGATGGACATAAATCCTGCCAACCATGCCTGAAATCAGCTTTACCAGGCGTGACTGAAATCCATTTTACCATGCATGACTAATATCCACCCTGCCAAGCATGAGTGACATTAATCCTGCCAAGCATGAGTGACATTAATCCTGTCAAGCATGACTGACTTTTAATCCTGTCAAGCATGATTGATATTAATCCTGTCAAGCATGACTGACTTTAATCCTGTCAGGCATGATTGACATTAATCCTGTCAGGCATGATTGACATTAATCCTGTCAAACATGACTGACATTAATCCTGTCAAGCATGACTGACATTAATCCTGTCAAGCATGACTGACATTAATCCTGTCAAGCATGACTGACATTAATCCTGTCAAACATGACTGACATTAGTCCTGTCAGACATGACTGACATTAATCCTGTCAAACATGACTGACAATAATCCTATCAAGCATGACTGGCATTAATCCTGTCAAGCATGACTGACATTAAACCTGTCAAGCATGACTGACATCAATCCTGACAAGCATGACGGACAGTCATTAATCCTATCAAGCATGACTGACAGTAATCCTGTCAAACTTGACACATTAATCCTGCCAATCATGACTGACAAGTGTAACATCAGCCTGGACACGTAGAGACAAACACATTCTGGCCTAGTTTTTCTCAGGCCACTGGCGTAAGTTCCCAGAAGTGCCTGAAAGACGATACATTTTCAACTTTACTAACAAAAACAAGGTTTTTTTTTCTGCATCTCCAGAGTGATGAGAGTCAGAGCTAAGCTACGTACGAACACACCAAGTATATAAGAGCAGATTGTGTTGGAGTCACTGAAGTTTGTGTTTGTATGTGTATATACTGTATCCTAGTTGGGGAAGCGGAAATTTAGTTTAATATGTTTATTATGAATACCATACCCATCATGTGGGCGGTAGTCAAAAGATTATAGAGGTATATAATGGGTCCAGGGACTGGGCCCCAAAGTTTTGATAGCTGAGCAAGATACAAAGGTAATGAACTTTATTTAGATCTGGTCACAGTCATGACTAGTTACAAAGGTATTTACAGATTACAGAGGTACATAATGAGTCCAGGGACTAGGCCCCAAAGTTTTGATAGATGAGGAAGTTATAAAGGTAATAAACTCCAGATAGATCCTTGATGTTGGTGAGGGGCTCTTGATTTAGGGAATTGGATCTGTGCTCCAGTTCCCCGAATTGAGCTTGAATGCCTTCCACATCCCCCCCCAGGCGCTGTATAATCCTACGGGTTTAGCGCTTCCCCCTTTATAATAATAATCCAGGTAGATCTAGTCACAGTCATGACAAGTTACAAAGGTACTTAGTTACTTAGTTACAGGAAGCGGAAAGGATACATGTTAATAGCGCTTATTGTGACTGCATGAAAAAATCATGCCTGTCTTGGACTGTGCTAGGTGCTGACATGTTGGGCATTGGCTTTAGTCATATGCTCTAGCCTCTGGCCCTCCACCCACTACACTTTTCTTAGGTAACATATAGCTTGTTCTCCAGACCTCGGACTATAACCTAAAGAACTCGGGTTCGATTCCAGGGCGACAAGTGACGTATATGAAGTTTCCTTACACCTGCTGCCCATGTTCACCTATAAATAAATAAGTCACAGATTTTTTTTTGTATTTAATATATCCAACAGTTAGAAAAATCTACCTACATCTTGCCTGTCTGATGATGGATCCGGGGGGTCATTGCCCCACTCTGGTTGCACATCATATTTGTGTCTCAGCTCTCTCAATAGAGCATTTAAAGATTGTAGGATCTCAATGGAAATAAGGCACAGATCTCGATGCACTGAATTTCTTGGGTTATCCTGGATGGCTAACCCTCTGGGGTTAAAAATCCGAACAAAATTATATCTTACAGCTCGTACAAACTCGGTCAAGCATCTAAATTATACTGGGAGCGCTTAAAGTCCCTAGAACTGTACTCCTTAGAACGTAGGCGAAAAAGATACATCATAATCCACACCTGGAAGATTCCGGAGGGATTAGTCCTAAAACTGAACACCAAATAACTGTAAATGAACACAAGAGGCTTGGCAGATAGTGCAGAACACTTCCGTTGATAAGTACAATGAAAGCTCAACAAGTGTATAGGGACCACGACTCTTCAACACACTTCTTTCATGCATAAGGGGAACCTTCCAGGTTAATAATCCTAATAAAATATTATCTTTAACTGTAAGGTGAACAGAAAAAAAAGTGCAAAGGGATTTACATCTTAATTATATTTTATGTTAATAATGTTACATTTTAATTGTGTTTTATTATCTAAATTAGGTTATCTTAACTATGCTAGGACATATTTTATTATCTTAATTATGTTAGGACATACTAACTAGTTATTTTAATTGTTAGAACATAATAACTAGTTATCTTAATTATGTTAGGATATATCTAGTTATCTTAATTATATCAGATCATCTTTAGTTATCTTAATTATATTTTGTGTTATCTTAATTTAAACCGGTAAGTGCTATATGACCCATATATCATCAGTAATTACTTTTGACTATAACAATACTAATAATTAACTACCAGGACTCAGTGGAAATAAGTCACTGCCTGGCTTTTTGGGGTTATCCTAAGTTCTCTACACACATGCTGCTTTGTATGATAATCTATATAGCTGTATTTGTATATACCTGAATAAACTTACTTATATACTTACTTAGGGTTTTGTATTTGGCGCTGTATATATAAACAAAATAATTTGTGAGGCAGGAGAGAGTCAGCCATACTTGTTGTGAGGAACGTGGAAGCTACTCTCACCCACTACACACCCACGTGTAAGTCACTTTTACTCCCTTATTCCTTTTATTCTTGCTTTACTAATGTTTCATTGTGTTTCTTAGGTAACCGGTGGAGGTACCTGATGCGGTGGAAATTAGGTGCAGGTGGTGTGAAAGGTGATCTTTGAGGGTTAAATATGGCTTATCTGGCAGGATGGTTGGACTTAGCCGGTATGGAAGTGGTTGAGGTATATTACTATATATTGTTCACGAGGAAGAGCTGAAGTCTTAGGGGTGATGCAGTGCCTGCCTGGAGACTGGGAGGTAATCAGGTTCCTTTCAAGTAAGGGGAGCTCCAGTTTCTTTGTTCAAGAGCCCTTCTGTTGTAACTAACTTTAGCTACTATCTTGTTTTAACTTTTAAGGTTTAATTAATAAGATATTACAAAGACCTCAATGTAAAAGTCACTGACTTTTTTTTTTTTTTTGCTTTATCCTGGGTAATTTACACATGTTAAACTATGTATGATAATTGTACTTGTGTACCTGTACCTAAATAAACTTAGTAAGGAACACTGCATTAGGCCTAAGATAAGATTTTGTTCTGGTTTTTATCCCTGGAGGGTTAGCCATCTAGGAAAACTCAGGAAAGGCAGTGTGTCATCGAGGGACACACTGTTTCCATTGGGGCTCCTTCAGTCTTGTCCTCCAGGATGCGACCCACACCACTCTACTAACACCCAGGTACCTACTAGCTAGCTGGGTGGACGGGGGACAATGGGTGTAAGGAAACACTCCCAGTGTTTCCACCCTCGCTGAGGATCGAACCACGGACACTCAGTGTGTGAAGAGGGCGTTGCCTACCAGGCCTACTGGCCTATGATAGACAGGTTTAACTCACACACACCCATACCAACTCATATACCCGTCGAACCCAAATATTAGTCCACCCAAAGTTCTGACGCTCATTGATGGTACCTGGGAATTTAATTAAGTTATTACGTGCTGTTGGAGTGTGAGCAAAGTAACATTTATGAAGGGGTTCAGGGAAACTGGCAGGCCGGACTTGAGTCCTGGAGATGGGAAGTACAGTGTCTGCACTCTGAAGGAGGGGTGTTAATGTTGCAGTTTAAAAACTGTAGTGTAAAGCACCCTTCTGGCAAGACAGTGATGGAGTGAATGATGGTGAAAGTTTTTCTTTTTCGGGCCACCCTGCCTTGGTGGGAATCGGCCAGTGTGATAATAATAATAAAAAAAAAAATATTACAGGGACTCCATTGGAAATTAGTCACTTTGTCTGACTGTTTTGGGTTATCCTGGGTAATTTACACTATGTATGATAATTTATCAACTTGTCGGTTCTCTGAACCATTCATCTACATATGATAATTGTACTTATGTGTACCTGTGCCTAAATAAACTTATTTACTTACTGTACTTCGACACTTGTAACAATTGCTGTAAGTTCTGTCTTGGTTGAATATTTTCAACATGCTATTTATATCCTCTTTATTCCTGTTTTCCATTTGTACACTTAAGCCATTTCCTTAATCCTGCACCTTTCCAACGAATGTAAGTTGAGTGGCATAAGCAGACGAATGTTGAAGAGGAGGTAATCAGTCCCTCCACCTTGCAGAATTGTATTCAGAAGACAGTAGATGAGGTAATCAGTCCCCTCAGTCTAGGAGCAGGTATTCAGTACTGTAGTCTGAGAGACTAATTGCTTCATCTACTGTCTACATTTTATATTTCTGTATTTGTATTGATAAACCCACTTGTTGGTGAAACATCTACAAATTATATACTTAGATGTTTCATGTGTGTAATTTATCAAGGGGGTGATGTTTCCTGAAAACTAAAGGAAACTTGTAGGTAGATGCATAGGGTACTTACTTTACACCCTTGATAAATATCACATCAGATATAGTTATTTATACATATTAATTTTGATTTTCAGCTCATCAAACATGGCATTAGAACTTGCTCATGAAAACATCTGGTTCGACAAGTGGCGTGTCGATGATGCAGAACGTCAGTTTTATGAAAATAAGGCCCAGGTGGGTTACTTATATCGGCCTTGTATTAACATTTCATATAGAACAAAAGGGCACAATACCATGGCTGGAACAATACACAAATAACCTTCACATAGGAGAAAGAAACTTAAGATGTTTTGGTCCAACTTGAACCATTAATTAGTCACAATGCATGTTTAGTTAATAATAATAATAATAATAATAATAATAATAATAATTTCTAATAATAATAATTTCTTTATTTACTACAAGTACATGTACATGGCATACAGCCCTAGCCGACATCAATGACATACTACTATATAGAAAGCCACGTGTTGTGCAGAGCATTTTGGGCAGATTAGGTTAGTTTTGTCTCAGGATGCCACCCACACCAGTCGATTAACTCCCATGTACCCATTTTACTGATGGGTGAACATAGACAACCGGTGTAAAGAAACATGTTTCTACCCTCACTGGGAATCGAACCTAGACCCTAGCCATGTGAAACGAGAGCTTTAACCACCAGGCCATGGACTGAAATGTTGTCATAAGTTTCATTCTTGTATATGCGGGTTATCTGTGTAACATTTCGTATCTTAACCCCTTATGACATGGCGATTCACAGGTGTGACCTCCCATCAACATTTAAATTTTCCCATGCACTCCAACTAAAAAGTTTCCCTTCTGTTTAATTTCTGTTTAGTAACCAGTACTATTCTGGTGATTATATGAACCAGTTAAACTTGGTTGATTTAATAGCACGTTGTCTAGGTCAACTGGAGTGCTTGTCCAGGTCACATCTGGATGTTGCTGCATTATAGGAGGCTATAATGTGCTCGGAGTAACATCTTTTAGTTTATCCTAACAATTTTTTTCACATTAACCAGTAGATTAGCATGAAGTCTGGAAAGTGTGGGAAATTAAAATGGCATTGCTAATTTTCTGTCTTTTTGTTATAAATATTAACATTTTGAACATCCTATTTTAATCTTTGTAAGCCTTAAGATTATTCGGTTGGATAAAACAATAATATTTGCAATAGTAGTGTAAATCAGTTCGATGAAGGTTTAAGGCCAAGTGAACTGTACTGTAATCCATTGTCATTATAGTATTGCTCTCTAGGTAAAATGTCTTAGTGATATACCACTCTATAATTTGATAAGTCAATTGTTGCTGTTTAATGTGATGGTATACACTAATCCTCTTCTATCATTTACAACAGGTGGTTAGCTAAATAGTATCCATTCTATTTTTTACATAGCCTGCCATAGGATCGCCCTGTGTGAGGCTTACTTGCACAGGTAGGCCAGTAGGGCTAGTTTACAAGGTAAGGTTGAAGGTCGTCTAATTTTTGAAGTTTTAATCCATGAGCATTAGTCATAGTCTTGTAGGTACTGTGGACCACCTAATTTGTAAACAAATATGGAAGCTTATTCACAAAATATTATTAATCATCTCTATTAATTAAGAACCAAAAATGTGAAAATTTATTGTAGTTAAGCACTTAAGCCTTTTCTGAATTCATTATAAACACAAGCATAAGTTACGTTATTCTTTTGTATACATACTGTATATCTATGGAGTTTTTTTTTGGGGGGGATGTGTTAGTTCAAAAGTGTTTTTCTACTACTGAAACTGAAGTTATATTTTAAGGATTGTAATTTTCTCCCTGTAAAGAAATACTTTATGATAAAATCCTTAAGAAAAGTTGTGTACTGTGAACAGTTTGGTACTTATAATTATAAATAATGCAGTTATATAATTGACTTGGCAAATTATGCAGGCTGACTTATCAGGTGATATAATGACTTAATTACAATTAGGATTATTCTTTGTACATACTGTGTGTTTTAAGTGCAGGTATGTACTGAGTTGTATTTGTGTGTGTGGATGTTCATAGTTTTTAGAGGAGCAATTAATATGTCAGATCATTATTTAGTGGTAGCTACAGTAAGATAGTGTATAAGGAGGTTGGCATCAGTGGGTAAGAGACGTGAAAAATGAATGAGCTAAAGGAGATAGTGGGAGATACATGTAAGCAACTATTAGTAGAAAGGTTAGGTAGAGGGAACATGTAATAAGAAGGAACTCGAAGAGGCATAAAGTAAATTTAATTAACAGCAGTCATTAAAAGCCTACAGATCTTAGCTATGAATATCCTCCTACCCCAAGACATCCTCCTTGCTAGTAGAGCTAAATCCTTCTCTCCATTTCTTCCTCTCTTGAAAATAATGAATATCCAATGGGCTGTTTTATTGATCTTAAAAAAAAATCTTTGATACATTAGACCACAATGTTCTACTACTTAAATTAGAACATTATGGAATTAGTGGACATGCTCTCTCATACATGAAATTTTACCTAAATGACAGACACCGGCATGTGACCATGCAGCCCAATCGAACATTTTGTGGTAATGCACTGGGCCCTATTCTATTCCTTTTCTCCATCAGTGACCTTCCTAATGCTTTACAGGAGCTTAAATTCTATCAGCAGATGACACAACTTTGTAATTTCAAATGTGTACTCAATACAGTAAATGCCAAACTTTTCAGAATATCTACTTGAATCACAACTAACAAACTCTCACTCAAATCAAACACTGAGGGACTGACAACCTTAAGTCTACGACTTCAAGGGTGATGGACTGATTACATTGTCTTCGCATCTCTACTGTTCCTGCCTACTTTCTGTATTCGACTGAAGAAGCCTACTGTGTAGGCGAAACATTTCAGAATAAAGTTGCCTAACTGTTGCCTATGTGTCTTGCCTATCTACTCTCACTCAGTATTGACAAAACCGTCTATATAATGGTTGGGAACAAAGTAAAAAAAAAAATTAATTTGAACATAGAGAAACAGTATGCCAATTTGTAGTCAGGACAAGGGTAAATTCTTGAGAATACAATTGTATGGCAAACTAATATTTAGTACACTGTACATCTAGAACATTTCTAAAATATTTCCAAAATAATGGGCATTCTTTCAGAAATAAGCTATTATGTCCTCCACATATCCCTAAACACTTTGTACCACTCTAATTTATCCATACCTCACTCAAGGGATCAGCAACAGCTAATCACCTTAAACCTGATGTTACTCAGCATAAAATCAGCTCTTGGAATTATTACTCATTTAGGCTCCATACAACACACACCTCTTATTCAAAAGTTTAAATTTACTTAATGTACAAAATCATATTTTTTTTTTTCTATGCATGCTATGTCTGCAGGACACTCATTTCAAACATTAACCAGGAGCTTAAATTTTGTTGAGAGTTACAACCCAACACATGGACACAATACAAGGAACAAATGTCCCTAACATTCCACATGTATGACTACCTGTTCAAAAACTGTATGCAAATGAAAGGCCCAGAAATTTGGAACACACTACCTGAAAATGCCAAAAGTTCACCATCTTCCATCAGTGTTACAAATATTGTTAAAAAGTACCTATTTAATCTTGCATAAAGGTTATATTCATTAATTCTGTAAATTCCTGTTTTGATTTCAGCTCAATTTAACCACTCCACAAAATGCAGTTCATTAAACTAATATAATTTATCTGTAATTTATTAATTCTTCATTTGCAACCTTGTCTCATTGTACTTTTGATATTAATGGAGTACTCAAGCTGTACTGATACTCAGTGCATTACCCAATTAGTGGTTTTCTTCTGAACCTATAATTGTATCAAATTATACCTGTATTATATGATCAGTCTCTAAAACAGTCAGTTGGAATGTATAACTACTGTAACTACCGTACTTTGTGTGGCTCGTAAATTTAAGTTACCAATATACCTTGCCGTGTGTGTGTGTGTGTGTGTGTGTGTGTGTGTGTGTGTGTGTGTGTGTGTGTGTGTGTGTGTGTGTGTGTGTGTGTGTACTCACCTATTTGTGGTTGCAGGGGTCGAGTCTTAGCTCCTGGCCCCGCCTCTTCACCGGTTGCTACTGGGCCCTCTCTCTCCCTGCTACATGAGCTTTATCAAACCTCGTCTTAAAACTGTGTATGGTTCCTGCCTCCACTACGTCATTTTCTAGGCTATTCCACTGCCTTACAACTCTATGACTGAAGAAATACTTCCTAATATCTCTCTGACTCATTTGTGTCTTCAACTTCCAATTGTGGCCTCTTGTTTCTGTGTCCCCTCCCTGGAACATCCTGTCTTTGTCCACCTTGTCTATTCCACGCAGTATTTTATATGTCATTATCATGTCTACCCTGACCCTCCTGTCCTCCAGTGTCGTCAGGCCGATTTCCCTTAATCTTTCTTCATAGGACATTCCCCTTAGCTCTGGAACTAACCTTGTCGCAAACCTTTGTACTTTCTCTAGTTTCTTGACGTGCTTTATCAAGTGCGGGTTCCAAATAGGTGCTGCATACTCCAGTATGGGCCTGACATACACGGTGTACAGTGTCTTGAATGATTCCTTACTAAGGTATCGGAATGTGTGTGCGTGTGTGCATGTGCGCGTGTGCGCGTGTGCGCGTGTGCGCGTGTGCGCGTGTGCGCGTGTGCACGTGTGCGCGTGTGTGCGTGTGCGCGTGTGTGTGTGTATATTAAATTAAAATGGAAAAGACCTTCCTCTGTAAGCTATGCGTGTTGTAAGAGGCGACTGAAATGCCTAGAGCAAGGTGCTAGTAACCCCTTCTGTTGTATAAATTACTACATGTAAATAGACACTTTAGTTTTTTTCTTTTTAGGTCACCCTGCCTCAGTGGGAGACAGCTGGTGTATTGAAAAAAAAAAATTGCTACAATTAAAAGTTCAGAAGAAAATCACTTTGCATTTCAAGCAAACTAATCATATATACATAGCTTACAAATTACTTAAATCTAGACCTGGCATATAATTTTAATAATTATGTGCTTATTGGAGATTCTAAAGAAAAGTTACATAGAAAAAGAGTAAGGTGATGAGGGTATCAAATGATTTAGATAAAGAAAAATTGGATATCAAATTGGGGAGGAGGAGTATGGAAGAAGTGAATGTTTTCAGATATTTGGGAGTTGACATGTCAGCGGATGGATTTATGAAGGATGAGGTTAATCATAGAATTGATGAAGGAAAAAAGGTGAGTGGTGTGTTGAGGCATATGTGGAGACAAAAAATGTTATCTATCTAGGCAAAGAAGGGAATGTATGAAAGTATAGTAGTACCAATACTCTTATATGGATGTGAAGCTTGGATTGTAAATGCTGCAGTGAGGAGGAGGTTGGAGGCAGTGGAGATGTCCTGTGTAATGGCAGTGTGTGGTGTAAATATTATGCAGAAAATTTGGAGTGTGGAAATTAGGAGAAGGTGTGGAGTTAATAAAAGTATTAGTCAGAGGGCTGAAGAGGGGTTGTTGAGGTGGTTTGGTCATTTAGAGAGAATGGATCAAAGTAGAATAACATGGAGAGCGTATAAATCTGTAGGGGAAGGAAGGCGGGGTAGGGGTCGTTCTCAAAAAGGTTGGAGGGACGGGGGTAAAGGAGGGTTTGTGGGCGAGGGGCTTGGACTTCCAGCAAGCGTGCGTGAGCGTGTTCGATAGTGAATGGAGAGGAATGGTATTTGGGACCTGATGAGCTGTTGGAATGTGAGCAGGGTAATATTTAGTGATGGGATTCAGGTAAACTGGTTATTTTATGTAGCCGGACTAGAGTCCTGGAAATGGGAAGTACAATACCTGCACTTTAAAGGAGGGGTTTGGGATATTGGCTGTTTGGAGGGATATGTTGTGTATCTTTATATGTACATACAGGCGGGCCCCGCTTATACAGCAGTTAGGTTCCGGGCTACTGCTGTAAAGTGAAACAAAGTCTTTTAAATACATATAAAAGCCTGATAACATGTTCACACTATCATATAATAAGTGAACAACAGAGCTAAATCTTAAAAATGCATAAACATTACTTACCTGAAACTATTTTTGTCCTTGGCTTATAGAGTGGTGAATATATTTACTTTAACAAGTTTGAATGAATGAAGAATGGTTATAACTGACAACCACTGCATCAGCGAGATGCTGTAAAGTGAAGTGCTGTAAAGCGGGGCTCTCCTGTACTTCTAAACTGTTGTTACCTGAGCACCTCTGCAAAAACAGTGATTATGTGCGAGTGAGGTGAAAGTGTTAAATGATAATGAAAGTATTTTCTTTTTGGGTCACCCTGCCTCGTTGGGAGATGGCCAACTTGTTAAAAAAAAAAAAAAAAAATGTAGCAGTACAGCTTAAGTAATTTATTACGATTGCAAGCACAATGAGATGGGTTGCAAATGACAAATTGGATAATTACAAATAAAGTTGAATTTATATTGGTTCAGTGTTCAGTATTTTATGGGG